ACCGCATCTCAAAAGCCATGACCTAGAATGTGTGAAGCTCTTGTTGGCATTGTTGTTTTTACCGGTTGTAAACTCCAGTGGAAAGTTATGGTTGTTCATCCCGTTCTGGTCTTTTGTCTTGTTCCATACCTTGAGCTTTGCGTGCGTATCTTGTTTTATAGATCTGGCTTATGTGTGTGCAGACTTTTGGTTTCTTGCCTCTCAAGCAGATGGGTTCATTTCTTTTTCTCCCGGGAAGGAGGGGGGGTTAATTGTTTTTCTCCAGGGGAAGGGGGTTAATTTCTTTTTTTCCACAGAACACAACAGGACTCCAGAACCCACACAGGAAAAGTGAGAGTCTAGAACTGTATATCACAATGCCAGAATCTGTTATTGAAAACTGTTTTCACTTAAGAATTTTTAAGTACTCCTCTAAAAAGTCAGCCGCATATCCTCCATAGGATATCCCAGAACCGACCTCAGCAGCTTTTGGCTGCTTGGTTTTACTAGGCCATTTTACATGTGGTTGGCTGCCATTGCTAACTGAATGATCGGATCTCGATATCACTGTCGAAGTCAACTCAAAACAATCTGCAGCTAAAGTGCCCGCAGCTGGAATCAAACCCTGTACTCCATAGGTTGCTTTTATATTTCAACTAATTAATGACACAAATGTATATTTAACATACAGGCTTCATTTATGTAAAATATACATAACTTTATTGCAATATATGAATTGAAATATAATTTTTTTAAATATATTAGTTTCAACATAATATAATTTTGATTCCGGTAATTTAGTTAGCAGAAATATATAAAATAAATGCTAAAACTTAGCTAGTAATATGTATATGTATATATGATGAGAGAAAATATAGCACATGTTTAGCAATTTTGCTGTTATCACTGTAAAACACTGCATCATGAAATTATATACTACGTCAGAAATGCTAAGTGAAAACTGGCAAAAGGCCCTTGAATTCGCAGAATTTTATTTCAGTTAGACAAGAGCTCTCATCCAGGATTATTTCAGAACCCCCTCCCCCTTTCCTCATTTTTTAAAAATTGGTGTCAGACAGAAGCTTTCTGGGTGCAACTGTGCATTAATCAGGGTGATGTTGCACAGCAAGATGAAACATTTTCTTCTTCTTCTTCACTTCCTCTTTTACCGCTGTGGGTGTTGAGGGAGATATAAGGTTCTGTTTCTAGCTCTTCTGGCTGCCTCGACCATAGGCACATCGTGCTGTTGTAGAGTTTCTCTGATGTTATCCTTCCATCTTGTTCTTGGTCTACCCCGTGCTCTACGTCCTTCTTCTATTTCCATGTATGCTTTGTATGGTATGGTGTCACAAGGCATTCTCTCTAAGTGGGCAAACCATCTCACTTGCTGTCTTTGTATGTAATCCAGAATTGGTTCTGTGCCGACTTGTTCTCTTATGATCTCATTCCTGATCTTATCTCTTATGGTCACTCCTACAGCCTTTCTCAGACATCTCATTTCCAAGGTTACTAATTTTCTTTTATGGTTTGTTGTGAGTGACCATGTCTGGCACTGGTAGCACAGAGTTGGAATAAATATGCTTTGAATAAGATGTCTCTTTGTGCTGATTAGGATTGTCTTATGCTGTATGCTGAGGTGGTAACAGGACAAAGTAGGGGATTGCTAGGTGTGGGCGAAGTATGTTGTGGCCTCGTGCCACGGGACCGCTACGGTAGCCATGAAGGCCACCCTGGGTCACCCCGAAACGTCCTGGCCAACGGGGCTCTGGTGAAGTTGCGACAGGCCTAGCAAGCCGGCAATGGATTTATTACCGCTACAGAAATCAAAATGAGATATAAACATTTTCTTCAGTTCTTCAAATTTCCTCCTCAACTCAATTTGGTGTGAAAATGCAAACTATTATGAGTTTATGTTAAACAGATGTGAAGATATGAAATGTTTGTTAGTCTATATTGCTGTCAGAAAAAAAAAAATCTGTTGCTGTTTTTGCACCAATCAACAGCCAAATGATGATGATGTAAAACATGATCACACAATTTTTTGTTCTCAGAATTTGATCAATATTATCTGCTGCAAAAATACAAAATATTCTGAGTTGAGTTCAAACATTTGTGAAGCTTTGGCATTTTTAGTACAGACTAGTAATATGTATTTTCTAGGAAAGTGCAAGGGTTATTATTGGGCTTGGTAGTCAGAGGGTTAAAGTGTTGAAAGATATGGATTAAAATAACCATTCAAACTTTGAATGTTAGTAATATGTGCATGCTCAAGAAATTTAAAAACATTAACATTTGTTTTAAAAAGCTACACATGAATACTTCTTTATACTGCGGTATGAAAATGAAAGCCATACCAAAATTTTGTTCAACCAGTCCGGCCTAGGGGTTTAGCCTGGCACATTGTATACCCCAAATGTTTTACTAAAAGAATTATGGCAAGACTGGGGGAGCGGTGCAAACTGTACCACGACATACAAATTGGAGGCCCTCCCATTTGTTGAATGAACGCCTTATTGTGACATTAAATTATTTGTTCATATTTTTAACAGGTGTCACTGCCATAAAACTGATGAAGCTGTAACTGAAAATGTAGCTGATATACTGGAAAAATATGTGTAAACACAAACTAAAGCCAGTATAGTTTTATTAGTTTATGTTATTTTGATATTATTCTGCATACAGGTGTGAGCTGCTGCATGTGTGGGATATACGAGGGGAAGTCAAAATGTATGTCACTAATGGTTATGGGATAGCAGGAAAATGTAGTTGGTGGTTTATAAAGGTGTCATTAGGTGACAGCAACATCGAACTTTACGTCTCCGTTCATTAGGTGGTGCTAGGTGTTACATGTACATATGCAACACAGAAACAAAATGGCGACTATACTTATGGAGTGTACCCTCAAAAAACAATGTGCTGTTGTGGTTTTTTCAGGGCAAAAGGGCTGCCTGCAAAGGATATTCATAAGGAAATACTTCCTGTCTATGCTGACATATGTTTATCCAGTAAAGCGGTGCATAGGCAGGTATTAAAAAAAAATTCTCAAGCACGCTCTAAAATTGTTCATGAAGTCTGATCTGGCTGTCCTGCTGAGATTGCAACAGACGCATCGGTGCAGCGGGTGGAGGAGATGATTGGCGGTGACAGGCATGTAACGGTTGATTATGTAGCAGCTGTAATAGAGTGCTCACATGGTTCAGCATACAACATAATGCATGACTGACAAATTTAAGAAGCTGTGCTCAAGATGGGTACCTAACGCATCATTGTTGGTGAAACATTATGTTGAAAAATAAAGGAAAAATGTAGGTGTGAAAATAAACAGTTTTCAAGTTGTTATCATCTGTAGTTTTTTAGTTTTTTAAACAACCAATTGCGACTTACTTATTGACTTCACCTTTATATACATATTTTTAATCACATTACTGCAATCATATAATTGTATTTACATATTATACAACAGAATCTAAACAAATAATGCATATCTTTTCCTTAAAATGTATAGTTCTCACTAAAAATTCATTCTCATCCTAATGTATAATTCTCACTAGCAAAAAAATTTTCACCTGCTGCATAGTTTTCACTAAAAACAGATTATTAACTTGTGTATAGTTTTTACTAAAAATAAATAATTTTTTTGATGTATAGTTCTTACTAAAAATAAATTATTAACTTGCACAGTTCATAGTGACGGCATCAGGTTAAAAGTAACACGCTTGTCTAAAACCGACCTCAGCCCTCCAGTCATCTCCTTGTGAGATGCAATTTTTCTCTATTTTGAAGCCCCACCCTGGCTCTTGCCAGGGGACGCAATATAGCCTGACCATAAATATGGTCTAATGGCTGAACGCGGTTTCCGGGACCTCTCCACGGGTGATCCTCATCCACATGGTGGCACTTTGTGTCATCAGATGTTTATCGCTCTGTGTGATGTCCTGGTGGGGTAAAAAATCTACTAATACTACTAAAACCGACCTAAAAAAAAGTACTATAATAAGGCTAGTAAAAGTTCTTTTCAAATTTTTTTTAAAAACCACTTTAACTAGAATGTAAGTTACACAGAGATGTACATCCCAAACAATATACAACACCAGCCGATATAACAACCATGGTTATGTTTCTGGTGAAACAGTGAATTTCCTTCAGATCTCTTTCACATTAGCAATGCTAACCACAAATGCTGCCTCATCAAGAATACACATTTTGTTTTGCTGCAAAAACATCTGCACTTATCTCCCATCCAATCTCCCATCAAGCATCCAATCCTCTATCATGCATCTGATCTACCATCATGCATCCAATACCCCCCCCCCCCCCATTATACATCCAATCCCCAATCAAGCATCTAATCTCCCATCATGCATCCAATCTCCCAGCATGCATCCAAATTCCCATCATGCATCTGAACTCCCATCATGCACAAAATCTCCCATCATGCATCCAATCTTGCATCATGCACCTAATTTCCCATCATGCACCTAATCTCCCAGCATGCACCCAATCTCCCATCATGCATCCAAACTCGCATCATGCATCCAAACTCCCATCATGCACCTAATCTCCTATCATGCACCCAATCTCCCATCATGCATCTAAACTTGCATCATGCATTCAAACTCCCATCATGTATCCAATCTCCCATCAAGCATCCAATCTTCCATCAAGCATATGATCTCCTATCATGCATCTGATCTGCCATCATGCATCTGAACTCCCACTATGCATCCAAACTCCCATCAAGTATTCAAATTCCCATCATGTCTTCAAACTCCCATCATGTATCTTAATTTTTATCATGTATCCAAACTCCCATCAAGCATGCAAACTCCCATCAAGCATGCAAACTCCCATCAAGCATTCAAACTCCCATTATGTCTCCAAACTCCCATCATGTATCTTAATTTCTATCATGTATCCAAACTCCCATCATGCATCCAATCTCCATGTACCCAATCTCCCATTATGCACCCAATCTCCCATCATGCATCAAATCTACCATCATGTATTGGCAACACTAACAACTATTGGTTAAAGCCTGTGCTAGTAGATTTCCATATATAGGAGCCCGTGTAACTGAAACCGGTTCGTGTCATCAGCTGGTCCGATTCTGTTGGTCCCCGGCTGTGAGAGAAACAAGCGTAGAAAAGAAATGTTTTCATGCAAGCAAACAAAGCAAATGAGAAGCAAACAAAGTGGTTACAAATCTCTTCATACAGAGTTAGTTACTGCCAGGGTTAGCTAGTGTAGTAAATCAACGATACCAGGGGTTTTTTCAATCTCAGGGCATTTACCACTTGTTGGCGATTGGTTTTTTTTTAATGTAATTGAATATTTTGATTTATGTGGATGTTTTTCTCCAAGTTCTTGTTAACAGTGCTTGGGGTTTATCTTTCTGCCCCCCCCCCCCCCCCCTTTTTTTTTAAATGACAAGTTTCTTCATTTTTATTTTTTTATTTTTAACTCTTGAAGTCCCAGGGGCTGAGCATCAGAGGCCCAAGGGGAAGTCAAAAGAGATGTAAAATATGCACATTTTGCTTTCATTGGGCTTCTAGGTAGAAACCTATGAAAGTATGATGTGTTCCTTGTAGCTGAAAGAGTTAAAGTAGGCTCTGGGGGTCTTGTAATGTATTTTTTTAAAAAAAGGGGGGGGGGGGTGTTACTTGAAAAAAGGTTGAAAACCACTGAACTTTATACAAAAGCATCCAACTAAAAAGCTTAATTAGTGAGTAAAAGTGAACTATAGGACTCTTTTTATGCCAGTGATTTATGAGAGATATGATGCTAGGATCATATTTGATAGACTAGTTGGCACTTCATGGGTGATGTGGTCTATATCACACTGGACAGGCCTCATTAAGCAGCAGGATTTCAAACAAATAAAATGACATTTATTTTTATGATCATCAGTTCTTCTGCACTCAAAGGGCGGTTGGCACCCCTGTATTGTGGTTTACAGCTAAGCTGCAATATCTGCACCCTTAGTTAAACCTCAGTCCCCTTTTATGTCATGCCTGTTGGTTTGGAGGAGGGGGGAGGGGGGGGGGGGGGGGCAGTGAGTTATTTTTTTTTCCTATCTAAAATGGGGCTCCGGAACCCAAATGGGAAATGATCAGCAGTGAAAAGAACTCTGAAGTTTGGTTATCTTAGTAATAAAACAATTCTAGTGTTTAAAATTAGTATGAGCTTATAGCTGGTCCAAAGGTCTTTGGGTCACCAGTTTCTGTAGACTGTCTGATCACCTCCATCCACCTTTGGTGGTCAGATGCGAAAAAACTTCATGGTTGCATGCCTAAGGCCTTTCCAGTCAGTCAAGTTCTGTATTCAGGCTTTTCTTGGTCTGCCTCTTCTCTTTTGCTAAGCCCTGTAGTATTTTTTTTGAGAGGCAGCTAGATCTTATTACACATCTGTACCAATGCGTTTCCCATCTTTTCACTGTAGTTAAAAGATGTTCACAGTTGCCAACGTACTATGATAATTATACGGCAAACCTCATCATTTCTGATATGGTCCCTGTGTGACATGCCAAGGATTTTTCTGAAAGATCACATTTCCAATCCTTGTATCTACTTTTCAAATTCAGCTGTTAAGGTCCTATTTCACAGCCATTTGTAAACGTACATCTATCTGTTGTACTGAACAGCCTAAAATGGGTACAAGAAAATATCATGGGAAGACAGATATACAATCAGAAGGCTAATGGTGCCATCAGAATTGGAACTCTGCGCTTGCTGCAGAAGATGGGGACGGAGCACTTATGGGAGTGTCCCAAGTGCTGTTATGAAAATTCCTAATTAATATAACATTCTGGGAAGCAAAGATGGTTGTTGCAATGCTGTCATTCACTGATTACCAACTGGTCTATAAAAAATATGGATCTATCGCTATAGTACTGAGAAACTACTGGTGCTAACAAGAGCTTTAACTTTTATGAAGAGTTTCAAAGGAAGTTTTCCATCTTCTTCTTCTTAGCATCTTCATCTTCTTTGTTCACCGGCTGTAAGCTCCGGCGGAAAGTCCTGGTTGTTCATCCATTTGGACTTAAGCTTTGTACCAGGGCCTGAATTTTGCGTGTACATCTATTGTACTGGCTTTTTTGTGTCCAGTTGGTTGTTCCTTGCCGCTCAGGCAATCGCACTCTGAATTTGAAGGAAGTCCCCAATTAGTCGACTCCTATGACATGTTTGTTGGGGAAACAGTTAGCCTTTTCTGGTCCCCCCCCCCCCCACACCCCCGGTCACCCCCACCACAATGTGGCCCCGGGCCTACACAGGGATCTTAGCATTCACCGGCTGTAAACTCTGGCAGAACATTCTGGTTGTTCGTCCATTTCTAAACTTTGGTACTCTTCCAGAACTGAGGTTTTGTGTGTACGTCTGTTTCACAAATCTGGCTTATATGCAGAGTCTTGGTTCCTTGTCTCTCAGGCACTCTGACTTTGAAAGAAACACCCCAAATTGGTCATCTCCTAGACACACTTGTAGTGAAAAGGGGGGGGGGGGGGGCTGGGCCTATTCTTTTTTACTGCAGCCCCAAAATCCATTCAGGGCAGAAATGAGAGGAAGTTTTTACAAATGTGGTGTCTCATGTTTACAAAATTATAGAGTTTAAAATTAGTATGAGCTTACATTTAGCGGGTTAATGGTGCTCTGTTTAATAACTTTAGTGAAAATACAATGTGAATGAAATGATTTGAAATTGTTTAATAAATAAATTAAAAAAAAAAAATAAGGCAAAACATAATGTCAAATATTTTCTAGTTTAAATATACTCAATTAAGTATTCTATTTTGTGCAGGAGCTCTTAATTAAATGCATTGACATTTATCCTTTTTTTTGTAACTTGTGCACATTTATAATACATTCAAATTTTATTAATTAAAATTTTTTTTTTTAAATATCCAGAAACCGTGAGTTGTTAACCCATTGGCTCGGTATTATGGATATCGCAATCCTTCAGCCTTGATTCCATGATAGGTACCGTAAATCTGGGAGAAAATGTGGCTTTTCTGCCTACCCCCGGGAGTGAACCCAGACCACAAGGAGTTTGTCACCCGGTCACCGCGTAGTCCGGTTTAGCCAACTACGCTAGCGAGCCGGGCTATTAAAAAATAAACATATTTTATTCATTACAAACAAAATTAGCAATCTGATATTTGCATAAATCCAGCAAAATGCAAATGAAAGCAATATAAGCCAAGCTGTACTTGAAAAGAAAAAAACTTAAAAGTGGCATCCATGCAAAAGGCATTTATTGTATAGCTGTGCTGCACGATGTCCTAGCAGTTCTAATAAACATTTACCGTTTTCTATCTCAGTGGTATGATTCTATTCTTAAGTAGATCTTCTAAATATAACCTCATACGGCTGAACAGGCTACCTGAGAGCTGCTGTTTGTGCTTGACATCAGAAATGTGGCTTATCGGGTAATTTATAAAATTTTAACATAACATTAAAAAAGCGGTGTCCGTGGCTTAGGTGTTGCGAGTCCAACTCGTAATTCCAATATACCGCGATCGAAACCCGCTGCTGGCTGCATGGATTTTTTTAATGGTATGGGGCATCGCAGGTCGACCCAGCCTAAAATGGGTACCAGGATGGCTGTTCTGGGGAAGTAAGGACGGCCGGCGTAATGTTGACTACATTACTCACCTAGTGCTGATGGTCTGTAAAAAATATGGGTGCTTTTCCCATATACCCGATATGCCTAAAGGCATGAAAAGGGATCTTTACATTAAAAAGCCTCCAACAACAGCAGACCTAGGACTATCACCCACCCCCCACGCACACACACCTAAAGATGTCCGGTGAGAAGAATTAAACAGCACAATGCCGTCAACAAAGAAACTCAACGACTCACCTGCCGTAGGTGTATTCAATAGGTTTGGGTTTCTCCTTCTCGATGTAATGTAATAAAGGTGTGAAAATACGCCATGCCTCAAACAGTTCGTCAGACCTGACAAAGTGAATCTGAGAACCCATGAACACATCCAACAACAGGCGCTCATAGGCATCAGGCATTTTCACATCCTGAGAAACAAACAGAAAAACACATTTGAACATCACTAGTATAAACATAAACACATCATCATCATCATCAAGTGTTTTTAAGTGTCATGGGTGACTATGCTTAAAAATTCTGAGAAACAAACAGAAAACATTTGAACATTACAAGAAAAAGAAAACATCAATACATCATTACCATCATCATCATAAAGTGCTTTGTAATTGTCATGTCACTTTTCAGGCCAAAGCATTTCAGCTTCAAAAGGAAAACCCCTAATTAGTCACCATTATGATATACTGGTTGAGGAGGGGGGTCCATTCTTTTCTTCCCCAAAATGAGACTCCAGAACCCCTAAGGGAAGTCCAAAAGCCATGAGGATGGTTTGTTTTTAAACTACTCCCTTTGGAAACCAACCAATGTTATGTCCATGATTGTGAAAAGGTTCACTTTCTAAGCCACAGAGCTACAACATGATGACATAGGTGTCATCTCAGAAGGCTGAACAGGTTATCTAGGATCGGCTCCTGTCGGTCTGACATATGAGATGCGGCTCATCTGGTCACTGTGATGCCAAGTCTCAGATAGCAGACCCAGGAAAACCAAACAAACAAACAAAAAAACCCTCCCCAAAGATGAATGGCAAGAACATGTGATACCAGTTCTGCATGCGAGTTCCAAGGCTCCATTGTGGAGAAAACAAGAATAGACCCACTGCCTTCCCAACTAACAACCCAACTAACAAGGATAGCGTAGGAGTCGACTAACCGGGGGCTTTCTTCGAAGTCGGAGAGCATCTACCTGAGTGGCAAGGGACAACCAAATGCAGCCAAATAAGCCAGTAAAAAGGATGTACACGCAAAACTCAGGCTCTGGCACAAAGCCAAAGCCCAAATAACCAGAATTTTCGACTAGAGCTTACAGACTGTGAACAAAGAAGAACAAGAAGAAACTTGTGATACCAGTGTCACAATTCAGTAGCTGATAATCTCCGTAACTGCCACATCGAAGCAATGCAAACATAGAAGAATATTTGACAGAGTGCACTCACCCTATACCTGCTGCCGTACGTGAGATCCAACTCACTCTCCTCACAATTGATGCTCATTCCTGGTGTTTTGGCCATCATCTTCATGTAGATTGCCTCACTTGGCTGCACCCGGATGACCAGCTCGTTTCGCTTCACTTCCCCCGCAGGAAAAATGTCTCCGGCCACATCTTTAAACTGCACCCTGACTTCAGCCTTGCGTTCATTTAAAGCTATTATGAAACAGAAAGATACAAAGTTTATTCTTTCATTAATAATTTCAGTAGTATTTGCTCCCCGTGTTGGTTCCAGGGACCCCATTGTGGGGGAAACAAGAACAGACCCACTGCCTCCCCAACAAGCATGTCGCAAGAGGCGACTAACTGGGAGCTTCTTTTAAAGAGAGGCAAGAAACCAGCAGTCTGCATACAAATAAGCAAGATCTGTAAAATGTATGCACATGCAAAACTCAGGTCCTAGAACAATCCCAAAGTCCAGAAATGGACGAACAACCAGGTCTTTCCGCCAAAGTTTACATCAACAGTAGTACTTCCAACATCAGCAGAATGTTAAAAGTAATGAAACAAATGTTGCAAACTTGTTGGCACCTCTCTCATCTTTCCAGACGATGAAAGTTCTATTGTGTTATAGGTAGGCATGGTATCATAGACCATGGTGACACACATCAAGGCTAGGAATAAAGTTCCTCCTGTCTACGTCACAAATCCTGGGTAGTATTGTCAGACCACATGTTACCCTTGCAACATGATCCCTCTCTCTATCTACATTGTTAACTCTAAACTAAAGGTTTCAGGTTTTGAACAACAGATCAACATTATGGCACACAGGTAAGAACCCATAAGTGCTCAGTTCTTCTTCTAACTCAAGCCTGAGGCCGAAGAAGCTCAGCACAAGGCTCTGAAATACTTTTGGGTAGAGTTTTAACTCCAAATTGTGCCCGGGCAGCACTGTTAGGCTATTCTTTTCGATTTCCAACTGCTAAGAGATTTACGTGAGCAACAATACACACGGGCGCCCGATCTCACTACCCAAAGACCAGGGGGGAATTACTAGAAGTCAGAGTCCACATGAAAAAATCCCAGGGCTTACCAAGGATTGAACCCGGAACCTCTAGCACTTGAGGCGAACACCATGCCTCGAGACCACGCAGCCCCCTAAACTAAAGGCAACACTGAAACATTTGGAAAAAGCATGCAGCAGAAGTTGCCAGATCTGAAGAGCCATGCTCTTTTTGTCCACCTGTCAGAGCTTCCCTCCTAGGTCAGGTGCCAGCCAAGGCTAAGAGCCTGGTCTGCCATGTCATAACATTTAAGTTTTCAGGTTGCATTTTCTTTTTCTATGATGAGGCAAGTATCCTACCCAATGCTCTCTTCCGCCTGTAGCCATTGACTAAACTGAGATGTCAGATTTGGTATATGCCGCCCAACATCAGGAATTTGCAGTGAACAGGTGATACTGAATACTGTCCTCTAGTAGCTCATCATATCTGACAAATACCTGACTCGGAATGTTACCAACTACCAGTCTAGTACAGGTAAAATACATCTTCAGTCTACAATAAAACTAACAAGTGAAATACCTTATGTAATAATTCTAAGTGTGTATAATAACCAACTTATCGTGCCCGTATACTTCCATGAACAACAAACTGAATTTCTGGTGGCGATTGTTGGCTTTGGCACCTTAAGCAACTGAAATACGCATTTACTGCGTGAGTATATTTCTGGATTGTTCCAGCACTAGTTGTTTGTTCGCCAGTTTTTCAAATGCCACAGTGGGGGACATTTTATTTGATTCACACTGGCACAGGAAGGGGGCAAGTATGGGGAAATCCGATTGTGGTGATACTGAAATCTCAACTAAGACTAACACTAACAGTATATGAATGAAGCAAGAGACAGAAGAACTGTGTGGAAAATGAGGGGAGAAATGATGACTTATTAAAATATTTGTTATACTTTTTCAAATATACTGAAGATTATTTAATTAAAGGAAAAATAATTTTACTGTAAATTCCACTGTAAAGTCTTCTTTATCACCTTTTAAAGGGTGACATCTGTGGCTTAGGCGTTGCGAGTCCGACTTGTAATTCCAACGTTCCGCGATCGAAACCCACTGCTGGCTGCATGGATTTTTATCGTTGTATATGGCGTCGAAGGTCGACCCAGCCTAAAATGGGTACCATTATGTATGTCCTGGGGAAGTAAAGACGACAGGCGTAATGCTGACCACATTACCCACCTAGTGCTGACTGGTCTGTAAAAATATAGTGCTCTTCCCATACGCCCAATGTGCCTGAAGGGGTGAAAAAGGATCGTTACTTATTTTACTTATGTTGGCATGTTGTGTTGTGGTTTACAGCTAGGCTGCGATAAGTGTACCTTTTGGCCCCACATGTCTCATTAGAAAGCTAATTCCTGGTCGCCTTTAAAAAAATATATTTTTTTTTAAACCCAAAATGTGGCCTTGGAACCCACAAAGGAAGAAAGTCTTGATAATGATTGAAACCTAAACACAATAAACAAACAACAACACAGTTGGAATGTTCTATGACTGCACAATGACAAATTCCCTTTTTACAACAAAAAACCCTAGATCTGTTAAAGGGATGTGCTAAGCAACACTCAAGTTCTGGAATAAGACTAGTCCAGAAGTGGAGTGGACAGCCAACCAGGACTTTCACCAGAGTTTTCAGTTAGCGAGTGACAAGAAGAAAAAGAAGTCTTTTATCAAGAAACATTAAAAACATACCTTTGCCACATCTGAGGATGAAAGGCACACCATCCCAGCGCTCATTTTTCACGTACAGAACAACTGTAGCAAATGTGGGCGTGACAGATCCTGGTAAACAGTGAACAGTGAAAAGTAGCCATTAAATGCCAGACAGCAGGGCAGTGAGTGGACTCGCCAGGCAAACAACCAACTAAAGCTTTTCCCTAGCCAAACAAACTATCTAGCGATAAACTTTTTCGGTGCCAATGTTTGAGTTTGAGGTTTGAACAACAGATCAACATCATGGCACATGGTTATTAGCCCATAAGTGACTCTGTTCTTCTTTTAACTTGAGTCTTGAGTCCAAAAAAGCTCAGCATAGTGCACAGACTCTGTAGCACCGGTGAGGATCCTGAAACACTCTGGGTAGATTTTTAACTCCAAAATTTGCCAGAGCAGCGCCGTTAGGCTACTCTTTTTGATTTTCGGTGCCAAGGAACGTATCATAATTATCATGAGCAAGTCCTTTACAGAACGTTGCTTCCATCACAGCAACCCTGGATAAAACTTCGGTCCCTCTCCCGCTCCATGCACTTTTGTGCTCAAAGTGTTTCATATGTGCTGCAACATCTTCATGCTGGTTGGCCCTGATTCTCTTACTTGTGCCATACTTTCCTTTACTGTTCTTTCCAAAACTGTGGCATTTCATCCAGCTAAAATATTTTAATTTTAGTTTTCAAGACAAAATGCTGTTTATGGGTCAATATTCCCTGAAGTTCTTTTAGGATGTCAAAATTTCTCTTTTCTTGGTCCATGGTGTTCTGAAAATTTTTCTCCAGCCTATCAGCTCAAAGACCCTATTTTCTTCCTGACTAGTTAAGAGATTGTCTATGACTCACATTTGTATGTTGCTACAGGAAATATGAATGCTCTCAAAATCTTGACTTTGATTTGATTGCTTGTGCTTAGCCAAGGATTTTTTTTTTCAGTGTTTGCATTGTTATGATCGCTGCATTGTTGTTGACTATGGAGCCTAGATATTCAAAGTTGTGTGGCATTTCTCATATTTAATTGTTAAGCACAAGATGCATTGATTTATATCTAATTTAGTTGTCTTCCCCTACCAAAAGAGTTAACAAACATACTTTAGGCACAGACTTTAGGCATATAAACAATGCTCAAACCAGATCATCACCTCACAAAATAAAAGTAAAGGACCCCCACCCCCACCCCCACGAGGCTTATAGGGCTAGACCTATATTTTGATAGACCAATCAGCACTTGGTGGGTGATGTAGTCAGCATCATGCCGGCCACCTTTACTTCCCAGGACTTCACTTGGTAGCCACTAAAAGATGGGCTGACCTGGGAGCCACAGTCATTTCTGACCTGAACCCATGACCTTCTGATCCGCAGGCAAGCCTTTAGCCGCTACACCATGGTGGCTCCCACATGAAAGAAAGCAGACACAAGTACAAAGCACCATTTACCTTTGGGTACTGTAGTATCATCCAGGTAGCCCATTCTGGTCTCGTTGTCTCCATGGGGGTTACCCACGTACTGGCCCAAGACAACGTTGTCCATGCTGGGGCAAGGGATGCTTCTGAGCACTTTCACCTGGGAAAGGAAAACAAAGTATTTGGTCCATCAACTCACTCCCTCTCTCTCTCACTCCCTCTCTCTCTCACTCACTACCTCTCTCACTCACTCTGCCCCCTCTCTCTCTCCCTCTCTCTTCTCCTGTCTTTCACTCAGGTCAGCATGCAGGCATACATGTGGATGTGTATGCGTGACAGATAGTCAAAGAATACATGTTAGTATAGATGAGAGAGAGTGTGTACGTGCGTGATGTATGTGTGTGCATATGCATGAGAAAGTTTGTGTGTACAGCACAGCTGGAGTTATGCTTGTAGTGACGTTGGTAATATGTTAATTTTTCATGTGTATGCAAACATATGGAACACTCTGTATGCGTGTGTGTGTGTGTGTGTGTGTGTGTATATATATATATATACATGTGCGTATACATGTTCATACATGTAAGTGTGTGTGTGCATATATATATATATATATATATATATATACATATGCATGTATGTGTGCATATATGTAAGTGTGTGGGTGTGCGAGCACGTAATTATGTATGTGTGTGTGTATACATATATATATGTGTGTGTGTATATATATATATATATATATATATATATATATATATATATATATATAATATATATATATATATATATATATATATATATATATATATATATATATATTTTTTTTTTTTTACACATGTGTGTGTACATGTATGCGCGTGTGCTTATGTACGTGTGTGTTAGTTGCATATCCTTTACAGGACGTTGCAGAACCAAACCCAGCATTTTTTGTCTGTTGCAACTCTTCTAGGCAAATTTTACATTCAGAATTTGCTTACAGAATGGTCAGCTCTCGGTACCACTGTCAAAACCAACACAAGACAAACCATACACAGCTGGGATCGAACCCGGCACCTTGGCATTACAAAGTGCGCTCGCAATGCCTAAGCCACAGATGCTGATGTGTGTGTGTGTGTGTGCATGTATGTGTGTATATATATATATACACACATAAATACAGGTGCATGTAAGTTTGTGCATACATATGTTAATGTGTGTAGGCATGTGTGTATATGTGTGCGTGTGTCCAGGTGGGGGAGGGGAAGAAAGCAGAAATAAAGGAAACATAATACACTAAAAAATATCACAACTGATAGCTACAGACAAACTGGTGGGGCGTCAACCTCTAAATCAGAGCCTTCTTATTTTTCATGCAGGTGTACATAGTTTAGAAAGATGAAAAAAAATCATATGTACTAGCAAAAACTGACACCCCTTATAAGAAATATGGACACACCTTGGCACTGTAGACGACACACTAAATGTCTTGCGACAGACAAGTTTGGAAAAGCTCTGCTGTACATGACAGGGCCACTGTGCATGGCCAAACAGTAAAGAACCCTCTTCCATGCCTTCATACTGGGCATATAGGGCTAGCCTTTTATTTTATAGACAAATTGGCTCTCTGTGGATGATGTGGTCAACATCACGCCGGCCAGCTTTACTTCCTAGGAATGCACCTGCTACCCAATAAAGGCTGGGGCAGGGCCAAATGGACACACTAAAAATGGGCCATTGTTAGGTAGGTCTCAGGTGTAACAGAAATCTGGCTAATGTTGTGACTTTTTAGAGCATCGAGTTGGCTGTGCATCAAACGTACACTTAATGCTGTGACTGTAAGGCAACAGTTATGAATCCCAAGAGTGTCAACAGCTTTCAAGTCTTTTACTGTTTGGTGTGTCCTTCAATCTCCTAGAAGATTATAAATAAATAAATGGTCACGCTGGACAGGAAGGAACAGCTAGTGGGCTTTAACTCTGGAGCTAAGATGCAGAAGATAAAGCTGTTAGAGTTAGTTACCTTTTCATTTCTAATATCTTCAGAACTTGTTGAAGGTGGTTTTTCCATAGCAACCAATGTTAAAATTTGTAGTAAATGGTTTTGCATAACATCTCTGTAAGAAGGAAAAACGGGAAGGAAAAAACAGAAGTAAAAGTCATTAAAAAGTAAGGATGTGCTTTTGTGTAATTTATAAAAGTAAATGATCAGACTACATTTTAGTAGAAGTACAAAAGAAGATATTTTAAAGTTTTGGTATAAGTAGTGTAAAAGTGACGATAGTCATATTTGTACGATATTTCTTTTTTACATGTGTAAAATGGCTGTTTTTCTAAAGACTTTTTCAGGGAATTTCAAGAAAAATTTACAGTAAGGGGAAGAGGCTTTGTTTTTTTTTTCTAGGTTATCAGGGTGAAAAGGTTAAATTGACATCGAGGTGGGTTTTTCTTATTGACCTGAGTCCCCAGGTTGTTGCTGGCACCTTTCAGTCTCTCTAAACGCTAGCATTAATTTGTGCTAGCAAACAGTGGTATAGAATCACAGCGCATGGGGATGTCGAATGTGACAGCAAGACCTGCTCGTGTTAAGAAAAGTCTTCTGCAACTACAGTATGGGATTTCAGGACTACTATTAAGACAAGGTTTCTTTCAGGTAAGCTGTGATGGAAGCAATGTTCTGTAAAAAAAAATCCTGCCACATAATGATGATTATTAAATCTTAACAGGAAAGAAGAAATTACCTGAGAATACCAAATTCATCAAAGTAACCTCCCCTGCCTTGGGTTCCAAATGGCTCTTTGAAGGATATAACAATACTTGCAACATTTTCCCGGTTCCAGATAGGGCTGAATATTCTGTTTCCAAATCTGTAGAGAACAATTTTGAACTATTTAAACTTAGTGAAAAAAAGCAGTCACTGCTTTTAATTTATACGCAACTTTTTTTTTTTTCAGTGTATAAAACTTCCCTATGTATAAGACGATATCTTATTTTTCTTGCCCAGAAGGAAAAAATAAATATTTTAAACACAATTCATGTTTAAGAGTTATTGGTCATTTTCGTCCTTTTTAGGACGAAATTTTTTGTTATTTGAAGCCCCACCCCGGCTTTTGCCAGGGGCCGCAATATAGGCAGGCCATAAATATGGCCAATTGTCTGAACGCGGTTTCTGGGACCTCTCCACAGCGATCCTCATCGGCATGGTGGCACTTTGTGTCATCGGGTGTTTATCGCTTGTGTGATGTCCTGGTGTGGCAGAGTGTCAGTAAGTCATGTATAAGACAATACTTTTTTTTTTGTGTGTGCCCAAAATACAAAAATAAATATTTTAAACACATTCTATGTATAAGAAAACTCCCAGTTTTAAACTGTATAAATTTGGGAAAACATATTATCTTATATACGAACAAATATGGTAACTATCTAGGTGAAGAGTTAACATACTAGCAGACCTATAAACTCAGGGGGTCACCAACTGGAAAGCCAATCATAGGTGCGGTTCCAACCTCAGGATTTACTTTTTGTGGTATTAACTGGCTCCTGTGTGGTTTTGGTTTAACTAGACAATTCTTATATTCAGCAGTTTGCTCTGTGTTGAGAGGCAGAGGAAGTGCAAAAAAGGTGGGAGGGGGTGTGATAGCAAAAGCAAATGGATGTCGCTTAGTGCAACAATGCCTGGCATATAATACGACAATATCTAGCTTGAGAATGGAGGTGGAGGCAGTCAGTGAAGCTTGAGAACCAGCTACATACACATGTCATGACTGTAACTGACCAAGAGATTACATTCAGAAATTCTGGACACAGGTATGCTGTGTGCAGAATGGCAAGCACCACTGCAAAAGTCAAGCATAGTTTCAGTCATTTGGATATCTTTTTTTTTTTTTTAGGTTATGCTGTGTTGAAAAATGAAAAGGCAAATAGACTTTCTGGTTGTTTACCACTTTGTGGTAAGCTAGATGTTGTAAAGGGCCGTTCAGGAGAGAGTGAACAGTGTGGAAACAAAAATGTATCATCAAAGTCTGAACAGAGTGGTGTAGCAAAGAGTGACCAGGCGATCTGTCTGACACTCAATACTTGGGGGAGGAGTCAGACATACATCACCGTTGCTGGTACTATCATAATTAGAACTCTGCACTTGCTGCTGAAGATGGGGATGGTGCACTTATGGGAATATCCCACATGCTTTGATGTTGGTTCTCAACTCATAACTCTATGTTCAGTAGTTTGTTACTGGTATCTCAATGGTGCAACATTCATTCCTGTCAAAATCAACATCCAAAAAATTCAGCTACCAAACTGTCTGCAGCTGACTTTGAACTCTGGTATGTTCAAATTATGAAACTGCATTCACAACTTCTAAGCTACAGGTGCTAACAGGGTTATATGTATGCCAGGAAAAAATGATAAGCAGGTAACGTAAAGGACCTTTTTTGCTCCACTGGCACATCAAGCAAGTCATGCTAGATCTGTGTTGTTATAGACAGTCGGCACTCGACGGGTGATGTGGTCAAAATCACGCCGCCCGCCCGTATAAATATAACTTTATCAATATTTAATTTTCTAAGAGATGGAGTCAACAGGACACTGCAGGCTCAGCTACCACATGCATAAAATAAAGACTGTACAGTCCTCACACTGTGCCTGCCAGATGAGACCACAAACACCTGAGCACCTACAACTTTGAAAAGACAACTGGCCTCAAGAGCAAAGTGTGCAGAGCAAGCTATGAGGAACCATGAATGACCTGCAGCTGACACGCAGGGTCACAAATTGGGCATACAAGATGGTCTTAGAATAGGCCCTTCCAAACATGCACTTTTCAAACCAATTGTATTTTATCAGTAAAGCATGTTCATAAAACAATATTCATAATATGAAATCAAGTTAAAAAAAACAACAACACAAAAGCATAGATGGCGAATTCATTCATTAAAATACACATATATGCACAAACACACACTCATATATGCATAATTACACACACACTGATTTATACCCATACATACTTTCATACATACCCTTATTTATACTTTTATAAATACATACCCACAGATTCATACATATACATACATACATCACATACACACTCATGCAAACACAGAAGAACAAAAGCCCACTGGAATTAGTTCAGAGCATCATTTTGTAAACAGGTGACTAGTGACTAACTCACCGTAAAACCATGAGATTCTGAACCATCTCTTTGCCTAGATAGTGATCAATTCTGTATAATTCCTCTTCTTTGAACAATGCTGCTAAGTGACGAGACAGCTGGTTGGAACTTTCCAGGTCTCGTCCAAATGGCTTCTCGACCACTATCCTTGTCCATTTGTCTCTAAAAATATAACGATGTAATTGCAACTGTAGAAAGACATATAAAGTTAGTTGAGTATCCTTTACAGGACGTTGCAGAACCAACCTTAACAGCCCTTGGCTGTTGTGTGGTTTTTCTAGGCAATTTACATCCAGTAGTTTGCCATTGCTTTCTGGACGGTTGGCTTTCTTGATACCACTGTCGAAACCAACGCAAGGCGTATTGCCCGCAGCTGGGATCGAACATGGCATCCCGGCATTACCAAGCGAAGCGTTCGCATCGACTTAGCCACAGAGCCGACTAGAAAGACATATACTTCCATTAATATTATCCTAATGATGTGTATAGAATTTTGAAAAATGTTTCTTCTTTTGTCGTCTCACTGATACCAGATTGTAGCCGTGTCGTGATTTTCTGCATCTGTCTTGCACTTCTCGGGGGGCTTGGGTGGTAAATTTATTCATCTTTTTGCAGGTTTCAGCTGCATTATTTATCCATCTCTCTCCTGGTCTTCCCCTTGCTTTCTTCCAAGATGTTCCGTTGTAAAAAATCTTTTATCAAATGCAAATTTGTCTGGCTGTATTCTCACTAGATGGTAGAACAATTTCATTCTTTGTCTATCAGTATAATTCAGAAACGGTTTTATTCCAATGTTCTGTCTAATGCTGGTAGTTGAAACCTTAATATTTCTTGTGTTGTTAGTGACCTTACGGAAACAGCATATTTCACAAGTAATTATTTTCTGTTTTAGTGACATATTCAATGTCCAATGGGCTTTGATAGCATAAAGTAGGGATAAAGATAATTTTTTTTATTATAATCTTTTAAACAATCTTGGAAAAGATCTAGGGGATTAGAGATTAAAGAAGACAATGAGAAACGATCATTAACAGCCATTGGTCATGGTATGATGAGGTGTCAGCAGACAAACTGATATATTCTGTTGTAGAATGCAAGATTTGGATATTCAGTTAGTTAGCTAGTTAACAATTTAACTTCACTAATTATCCCTTATGTCATTCAATCCACAAGTGCTCGGATCCCCCCTCAGTAAATCCATGAACATGCTACAGACATGCTCTCCACATGCAGCAGAGAGATCCCAGGTTTGGCCGGTTGGTATTTGAATGGAAACCAAGCTGTATGGAACAGTGGAAGCCCTGCATCAGCTCACAGATTTCACTGAGGTCTCTGTCCTTCTCATCTAAAAACTACTGGCATGGAGAATGAAATTATGAAGAAAGACAGTTAAATCACATGAACATTTCTAGAGCAGTGTTCAGATAAGAATTACTGGTTAACAAAGAATATGAACCCCAGTTCATGCTTCTCATAAACCAAAAATCTACATCTCATGTTTTTTATCTTTGTATTCTTCAAGCTTAACACCGGCTGTAAACTCCAGCAGAAAGTTCTGGTTTTTCGCCCACTTCTGGTTACACGTCTTGTTCCAGAACTTGAGTTTTGTGGGCACATCCGTTCTAAAGATCTGGCTTATTTGTACGCACAATGGTGGTTCCTCGCCTGTAAGGCAGATGCACCCCAACTTTGAAGGAAAAACCCCTAATTAGTCGGCTTTTACAACACTCTTGTTAGGGGGACAGTGAGTCTATTTTTCTCCCACCACAATGAAACCCCAGAATCCACGCGGGGGGAATCAAGTGTTATCAAAAAGGACAAGAAGCCACATCACAGTTTTTAAAAATGCACACTTTTTACTCAACTCAACATTCATGTTTTAAAAGTCGACTCACCCTTTAGCCATGCAGAGAGCTTTAATGTTAAGTGTTACAGTTTCAAACACGGACGGAGGAAGGGCCAGGTAGAATAACCTATTACAGCTGCCTCTTTGTTCAATTGCTTTGTTCAGCTTCTGAAAGTCTTCCGTCTTGTCGTAACTACCTGCCACGTACTCATTTAGCTTGAAGAACTCTTTTAACTTGCCCTCTTCACCGGCCACAGCCTGCATGATTACAATATGACAACTTTTAAAAGTCAGCATACAAGAATAAATGTCAAAAAATAAGCTAATGTCCTTAATGAAGAAAATAGGGGCTTCTGAGCTGAAATGCTATAGAAATATTTTCAGAATACCATGAACAAAGATGAAAAGAAACAATGAATTCTAAAATATGTGAATATCAAGGAATACTGGCTAGTAAACAGCAACTTGTCTCGGAAACTGAAATATTCTGGCCACATCAAGTGCCACGACAGACTAAAAGGAATGGTAGCAGAAGGCATGGTATCAGGAAAGCCAGCAGGGGCCGAGCAGCACGAAGATGGGCACAGGATATAAGTGACTTGTTGGGTTGAAAAGTACATGAGGCAGGAAAGCTGGTGAGAGACTGAGTTTCTGTCAGGAAGACTTTGATACATATTGTGGGAAAAGAGCCAATATTTTAACATAATTACATATGAGAACAGCGAGGTTTTGCAAAGGACCAGGTACATATTGGGGAAATGAGCCAATATTTTAACTTAATTACATATGAGAACACCGAGGTTTTGCAAAGGACCTGGTACATTTTGGGGAAATAGGCAATATTTTAACTTAATTACATATGAGAACAGCGAGGTTTTGCAAAGGACCTGGTACATATTGGGGAAATGAGCCAATATTTTAACTTAATTACATATGAGAACAGCGAGGTTTTGCAAAGGACAGGTACATATTGGGGAAATGAGCCAATATTTTAACTTAATTACATATGAGAACAGCGAGGTTTTGCAAAGGACCGGTACATATTGGGAAAATGTGCCAATATTTTAACGAAATTACATATGAGATTTCCTTGATATCTAAAGGAGTTTAAGAATAAGAAAAGACTCCTGGTTGTATTTTTAAACTGACTTGGTTCCCATGTTAACCCAGTCTAAAATGTGCACCAAGAAATGTTATGAGAAGTAAGATGGTTCACGTGTTTCTGACAGTATTATTCTAATTTTTCTTAATCTTTATATTCTTGTTAGTTTTCACCAATGCTTTGCCAGGGACCCAGAAAAGCTGTTCAGATACACAACTATACCTTCTCCCTGACTTATGACCTATGCAACTCATGACCATCCACACTTGCGACCAAGAAAAAGTAGTAAAAAAAGAAAGATAACTATGTTAGTAGAGTAAAAAAAAGTTTCGGGATATGTTGCCCAGATTATCATCAATATTATCAGGTGCCTTGCCGACTGGCATGGGAGATCACGCCTCTCCACAATCCGCAATCTCATGTATCAGTTTGTATGCTGACACACCCCCATGCCATGCAACAAGACTGTCAAGCATCTTCTCTCGTTGTCTTCCTCTATCCCTCCTTCCACAGATCTTTCCAGTGGTCACAACATATTTTATTTTCCCTCTTCTCATAACATGGCCGAAAAATGATGACTGTCTCCTTCTGATGTCTGTGATAAGTTGTTGTCAGGCTCCCGCCTCTTTCAAAACCTCTTGGTTGTTCTTTTTTAGCTTTCCAAAATATTTTAAGCATCTCTGAGACTGCAAGAAATTGTTTGGCCTGCATACCGATTGTCCAGGATTCACAGCTATATGTTAAAACTGGATGTATGTAGCAAGCAAGAATTCTTTTTCCAACCTTTAATGACAGAGATTTATCGCATAAGATGTTCTTCATTTTATAAAATGCAGTTTTTGCTTGTCCTATTATGTTTCTTATCTCAGTAATGTATCTTCCATTTGATGTTATCCATGTGCCCAGATAGTTAACTTTCTGTGCTTGTCCCAAGATTATCATATTACAATAATTATACCTACACAAAATGAATTTTTGTGTTATATGTACAGCATGTATAGCTCGTTTTTATTAAAACAGTGTTGAAAAGTGTAAATTCGTCTTACAACCTGTTTACCTTACGACCAGTTCAACTACGACCTGTTCAACTTACGACCAGTTCAAACTTACGACCAGTTCAACTTATGACCAGTTCAACTTACGACCTTTTAGTCAGAGTGGAACTTGGCTGTAAGTTGCAGAGACCCTGTATTACATAAGACAAACCTTCATGTGCGGTAAACAGCTCTTTTTCACTTCTTCCAGAGTAAGATTGCTTCTTGCATAGCCAATGAAGTGAGTTTTTGGTGGTAAAAGACCATCTCTGAAAAGCCACCTGATAAATAAACAATGATTTGTATGATTTAACACATATGCTAACTTGCCATGACAAAATAATAATTGATTTATGTGTTGTGTGTCAATTTTATGTTCAATGGAATAGATATATTTGGAGATAATGAGTATGCAATAAATGTTAACTGTGCATGTAAGGCAAGCTACATGAGATAACCTTCGGGAAAGTCTGAAATTAGGGCACCTTTTGGATTCAATCCTAGGGTGTGGAACATTAGGGTTCCTAATGGCTGACCAGAGCTGGTGTCAGATGTTATTTCTTGTGTGAAGGTGGTCCCCGTGGCGAAGTGGTCAAGCCTTTTGTCTCGCGCTCCAAAGGTTGGGGTTTATCTCATGGCTGTGTTGTTCTGTTCATGAGTGCTATTTTTATACACATCCCTGGGGATCATCGTCAGAGCCATGGAAATCGTGCTATGTGCGGCACTCTTGGCAGGCGGCTAGCCGTTCTGCGCAGAGACCCAGACATATGGGAAAAAAACTGGTTCAATTAAATCGATCCTCTCGACTATAACCTTTTATTTCTTGTGTAAGCCTGTCAGGTAATGACTAACGAACAAATTGTTATTGAGTCGATACAAGTGTCTTACAATCTCAAGTCTGTATCTTCTTATATTACGGTGCTTAGACAGGCAGATTGTCTTCTGACAAAAAGGCTGAAGTATGTTGATCTTTGATGTTGTTCTATGTCTACATGTGTCCACGAAGACAACTGAACCCTGACCTGCTTGTCTGCACTAGACATCTCAACTGAACCCTGACCTGCTTGTCTGCACTAGACATCTCAACTGAGCCCTGACCTGCTTGTCTGCACTAGACATCTCAACTGAACCCTGACCTGTTTGTCTGCACTAGACATGTCAACTGAACCCTGACCTGCTTGTCTGCACTAGACATCTCAACTGAACCCTGACCTGCTTGTCTGCACTAGACATCTCAACTGAACCCTGACCTGCTTGTCTGCACTAGACATCTCAACTGAACCCTGACCTGCTTGTCTGCACTAGACATCTCAACTGAACCCTGACCTGCTTGTCTGCACTAGACATCTCAACTGAACCCTGACCTGCTTGTCTGCACTAGACATCTCAACTGAACCCTGACCTGCTTGTCTGCACTAGACATCGGTGTCATGAACTTGTGGATATTTGTCAGCAACACCATTTGTATCTGCTTCCCCAGCGAGTACAGTCAGACTTACTAAGCTATTACATGCATGCATTGATCCTGTATGCTTTTGATTTCCATAGTGTTTTTGTAATTCTTTCTTTTAGGAATGGTCCTCTTAATTCTTTCTTTCTTTTTTTTAAAACAGTCTTCTTTATTCTTCCTTATTTTTTTTATATTTCATGAATAGCATACTTACCAGAGAGTGGG